CTGGGCTGCGCAACTCCCGTGTGAAGCCCCCACGACACAGCCAGTCCAAGCGAAACGGCACGGGACCCATCAGTGAGAGGGAATTCCTGCAACTACTATCTGGCACCCCAGGTAGACTGACCAACTCAGCGAGAGCTAAAGTGCGGTGCCCAGCGGCCGCCCAGGCGATCGCTAACGAAATTCCCTTGCAACCCGTTTTCGAAGAACTCCTCGACAGAATCCAGCGGGAGCAGTTCCAAGGTACGTGACGAAGGCAGCCGTCCAGTCTGTACCGAGTGGATGTTGGTAAACCCCTCACTCCCCCCAGGCCACTGTAGCATGCCCACTCCTGGGGTGCAGGAATTAATTATTCCTCTTACCATTTATAGTTGTTGAGCGTGTGGGCCTAAACGCATCAGTCTACGCTGGATCGCGAGGCGAGCCCACGTGCCTCCTCCTAAAACTCTCGGTAAGCCAGGTCATGGTCGGTTTACAGTCGTCCACATTTTGCCAGCGGAGTCTAACTGCTTGAAATACTTTAGGATGCTACCGGATCGCTCACTATCGAGGTAAAGGCCACCAGCGCAAGTGACGCCGAGGGGCACCTCCAGCGGACGAAGAGGGTCGCGAAGTCGTTTAAACCCTGAGTTCCCCAAGGCCAAAGTGTCCTCCCTGTGATAACCCATGTGATTTTCGTCGTTTCTTTGAAAGACACTTATTCTTCATAGCCCAAGTCTTTCTCAAACGCAGCTGGTGACAACTAATTGTTAGGTAAAAACGTTTATTTATAAAAAGAAATGCAGTTTCACCAGTAGTACTCTTCCCTTTCGCCGTAGTCTTCATATCCATCGTCAGCTACTAAGGGGTGGTTATAAATAAGCAAAGGTGGGTTACCTCTAGGTCCAGGAGTGCGACGCGGCTCCATCGGCCCACCGTAATTTTCACGCCGACCACCGTACCGTTCATCTGGGGGACAACCGAAATCCTCGGGACCTCCGTACATCCCGTTAGCTGGCGCTTCGTAGTAACCACTCTTGTACTTGTTAGGTGTCGCCTCTCCGCTGTATCTACCAGCTCCGTTAGTACCACCGCCGCCACCACTGTAGAACGGCGGACCGTATGGCCTGGGAGCATAGCCGCCTGGGCTGTTCTGACCCTAAGGTGATAATAAAATTAGGGAAACGAATTACCTGGCGTCTGTTACCCATGGGTGTGGACTCGAGGAAAAGTTCGATGTACCGAGTCCCAATCTTCTCTCGGTCTTTTTTCATCGCCTCCTTAGCCTCGTCATGACTACCAAAGTCGACATCGGCCTCTCCAGTAGGTCGTCCCGCAGCGTTGTAACATATGTGGATGTTAACTGGTTGAAGAGGAGCCAGGAAATGGGCTATTTCGTCGGGCGTTACTGAGTAGGGAAGACCTCGCATGCGAATAGCGTGTCCGGTCATGCTCTTTGACTCGTTCGGACCCATCCCGGGGCCGGGGTAGTTTTCGGTGGGTGGGCCATACCCTCCTCTTGGACTAGGTGGTCGTTGCCCATAGCCACCCGGGCCTGCACCATACGGGCGGTTGTAGGGTCCAGGCCTAGGACCACGGCCATAGCCAGGAGGCCCGCCAGGCCCTTGGGGCCCACCGTATCCGCGGTAACCCGGACTCGGCGGACCGTAATATCCACCAAAACGATCGCGGCCGTGCCCCATCATTGGGCCTCCGCCACCACTTCTTTCCTCTACAGAAACGTATTACAAAACAGGAAACCACTTACGGTTTATCTCGATTTGTCGGCGTATAGCTACGTTAGCTTCCATGCCTGTACTATCAAAGATTTCAATATACCTGAAGAGGAAAAGCGTGTTAGAAGGATGTACATGCAACATGTAGAGAGAATCGATCTATGGAATGTAATTTCGAAATATAACAGAATTCAAACACCCTGAGGAAATCCTTTGAAAACTCCACCTGTGCCCTATCTTCTCCAAATGCTTCTCCTTTGCCCGTGCTAGCATTTCCGCCGAAGTGAACTGGACATAGGCATCCCCCGTGCAACGGCCCATGTGATCCACGAGAAGCCCGATACCGTTGGGAGCTATGTCGAGACCTGGTATGATGCCCATTTAGTCGATTATTCACCCATGGGATCGGAAAGAAAACGAAACAAAGCCGTGACATGAAATCAAAAATTCCATAATTACAGGCGCCCAAGAACTTAACCCTTGGACTAGATGCACTTCAAAGCTCAATATCATTTACCATGACTTTTACAAAAACTTTCAGGCAGCACGTGCTCAAGTTGTTAGTGATAGACGAAGACCTAACTACAGCCTACTTCGCATTTTACCTGCAACCACCCTAGTAACATTACACTCGCCCGGGTTATCCTCTGCAGTTAGTCTCTGGCTGGTTTCGGGATTATCTGGATCATGTCAGTAGTCTCTAGAGGGACAACCCGCCTATCAGACCATTATCGTGGCTGGTGCACGCTGTACACAGTCAAACGGATCACTAGTTGCACACAAGCCCACAAATCTGAGTTGCTAGTGTAGGACTAGAGGCTAGTGCAGTGTTATCAGGGTAGATGGCGCAACGCGCCCAGGCACCCATAAATAAATGTAAGTTATTCAAATGCACGACGGAGCTCTGATAAGAAACCATACAGGCCTATGAAAAATCCATCGGAGCATGACATTTACCAACAATAAAACCATATACAAAGATCATTCGGCATCAGACTCACGCCTTCCGCCCGCACGGATGTCCTCCTTGCCAACATGTGACCGCCGATCCACCAACATCCGGGGAAACGCGCGAGCTGGTCATGCTGGGACACCACACAACCCAACTATAAGCTTTCACAAGAAACTGGGCACGAAGCCACAACCTTTAAATGACAACCCCTACGCCGCACTGTTACCTAGGCCGGTCATCATGTACCTACAAGCATCAGTAAAAACAGACGCGGTAAGTGCCACTTATATTAATTTAATCTGCCTTGGGGACACCCCGCGACCGCACTACCCGATCGCAAAACGAGGGCTTAACCGCTAACAGCGCCACCAGCAGGAGTCAAAATTGACATAATACTCGACCACGCACATACCTAAGCTCCTATGCCAAAACAGATCAGACCAATAACCCTGTAGAGTCCAGGTACAGCACTGTCTACACCAAAAACCTAACTTGCAGCGGATGCCACATACACCTCCCATAATCCATTCATCATAGAGTTTAGGTTGCAATACTTCCTTAACTAATTTGCGCGTATAGATCAGCGACAACGACTGTCTAGTAGTTTAAGCGACTAACAACCTTTGACGGGGCCGATAAGCAATGACCTCGGCGAAATCCAGAGTCACGAGGGCTGGCCTTCCCATTAAAAGGGCAGACTCACCGTTGAAAAACGTAAAGATATCTTTCTTGTCCGTGTCGTACGGTAGGCCGCGAAGCCTAGCAACATGTTCCTTGCGGTTGCGTTCAGGCTGCCAACCCATCGCCCTTTTCATCTCAGCTTCGTCCGAGCGGAACACTATGGAATGCGTTAAATTATCCAGCGTTACCTTCTATGTATCTCCTTCCCATATGCTCATTATGGTGGGCCATTGCCTTTTCGATTTCGTCCTCATTCTCTAGTTCGATAAATGCTTCGCCGTTGGAGCGACCGTTCGGCCCCTGGGGAAACGATATCCCGCGCTTCCCACCCTTGATCGACACGTCTACGAAATCAAAGTGGCGAAAAAACTAACCTTTAAAGAAATTTATCACGTCATCGGCTGTAGCCGAATAAGGCAGACCCCGAATACGCAAAATCGTGACGGCCATTACCAGACCTGGCGGAAGACGAAAGTGACAGGGAATTCAAACACGGTAAGTCGACTCAAGTCGTTCATGGGAAGAAGTGCTCAATGAGGAAGGGTAAATTTTTATTCAGTCGTCTTGAAAGACAGAAGGTAGTTCCGATTGACTCTTCATTCATGGACCTGGGGTCTATTTCCGCGAATTTTTCTCAAACGCCACACTACTCTAAATGACATTTATTATGCACTACCACCCACGCTTTTATTGAATCCTGGCTTCCTTTACCATAATTTAATTAGTCCTGCTTCCATCCGCCTACTGCTTCATTTCCATGCCCACAACTAAATGTAGATTTCCGTTATGTGTTGGTGGACAATGACACTATATTGTTGTTCAGGAGTCTAGAGGTTCGATCATGAACTCGTATACGAGAGCCCAGCAGAATGTCAAAAGTGGAGGTCAACTGCAAAGCAGGAAACAAAACAAAACGCGACTTCCGGAAAGAGGATAACAGATCTGCTGTGTATAGCGTTACGCAATGAGAGAGTAGATAGCAGCTTAAAATACACTTTAGTTCCTAATTACGAAGCAGCTAAACAACTGAGCGAGTCTTGCGGAAGATCCGAGCCGATGACTAACATCACTTTGCCAAATAGTGGCAATTAGAACAGGAAGGAAGGCTAATCAGTACATAAATTTCTCACGGAAGAATATGTCTGCGTCTACCACTACAGTTACTTTGAGTATCTTGTGACTTTTGACAGTAATAGCACGCGCTTATACGTGCATTGTGTCACCCAGGCTAGATTAAAGAATTTCAACTATCTGCATCTGAGGTTCCTAGGCGTGCGAATAAGCCGTCATCTGGGTAATAGACTATTCCCAGAAACCTAGCATCACGAATGAAGTACTGAGACCGCATCGAAAATCAGCACTAAGATTCGGTCGAAGTAAGCTGGTATAACTAGAAATTCCGTACGAGGAGTATTCTGAAACGTCGTCGAATTATGCTAGTTTCATGGATGCGTCTGTGGTATTTTGAAAGAATTGCTTTGTCGGTGCGAATATTTCGGTTGCAATTATTTCCAATTCCATGAAAAAGAAATTAATTCGGATGACTTCTCCCCTGGCGCATTACGAAGACAAAATCACAAATGCTGCTGAATATGACGTTAATGTTCGTACCGGAGCAATTAGTTTAAATTTCCCTTTGTTTAGTCAAGTTGTTGCAGTTTGTGGCAACCACTCGATAAAAATGCGTACTCACTGCACCACAATCATCGAGTCAAATCCTATCTTGGAAGGAGAATACGGAAGGCACCAGAATTATGGGTTTAATGTACACAGAACGCGGTGTTGCCTTCTCAGGCGGCAGTGGCCACTGGCGAAACCACAGCTGGTGTTGACTGCGTCCAGTCATTCCTGAGATTCCTTGGGACAGTGGTGGCAGCAACTTTCGTTGGCTCGTGGGCCAAGCTCTCGTGGTCTCATATCGGTGTGTGCTGCATTTGCCGAGGGGCGGTGTCCCCGTGGCCTGTTTTGCCGGTTTCAGGGGGTGACGCATGAGTGGCCGCGATTGTGTGGGAAAACAATTGTGCTCGAGTTGAAGTCGGTCGAGTGGTTTCAGGGCAGCGCGTCTGGAACGGCTTGCTGCAAGGGGCGAATGACCTTGGGGTGGCGAGATCTTAAACAATGACGCAAGACCAGTCATTATGGCTGGCCGTTGCAAGTTTGACTTCTACCTGTGGTTTAGTGCCATTCTATAAATCACAACTTGCATCATCTCGGCCAAATCCTCGTCAGTCCCGTCATATTATTATGCACCTGGAGAAAGTTAAAAATTCTCCTCGTCACAACTCCTTTTCATTCATCTCCCTCAATCGCCCCTTTGTTTACCACTGAAGAAATCGTTTGTTACTCGACCTGAAGTCTTGGTCAGCATCAACGTTAATGCGCTTTTCACTAATTTGAGTTGAGTTTACGCATGCGGTCCAGAAATTGCCTTTGACCTACGTCTATTATACAGGACGATCAGGTTGTCCCTTACTCAGCGTGTGCTGTCACCTATGAGGGTGCAGGAGGGGCAGAAGTAAAAATTTCTGGATGTGGTGCTCACGAAGTCGCTGAACAGCAATGGAGAAGTAAAATGTTTGCTTCACTCAGACCGAAGCGACCACGTTACAGTACTTTTGTGATTGTCTATCCTTTCGATACGCGAACAACCCACCAGCGTTAGAAATGACATTTGACGTGGGGAATTCGACCGCATAAATTCCGGGATGTCGAACATGACCTGGGAATCAGATTTCCGCTAACGGTGCCCAGGACTCACAGCAGTTTGGTAAGTTATTGCATATTCTCCTCCAAAAATATTGTCTCATTTCATAGAAGAGGCCGTACAACAGACCTCGGTGACTGATGCACGCTCTTAAAAGGCAAGTGGACAGGAAGCAAAGCTGTAGAGAATCTTCCTCGCTGATGGGAACCCTGTTTCAATAAATCTGTGCAGGATGCACACACACCCAATCGTATGACTTATATTCAGAACATGACAGGAGTTAAAAAACCGATAAACTATGCAGTTGAGAATACGAAGTTATTCTTTGGTCACATGAGAAGAAGCATGTGCAACAGCTACCTATTCCCTTGTTGAGGGCTAGTAAAGACCTGGAAATTAGTAAAGACCGATCAAACTAGAGGAATTCCCACTATGTTTATGTCCATCGTTACAAGGGAGAACGAATTTATTCATCCCGACTGCAGCGTAGCGGAAGGGCCCACGATCCAAGGGTTTATTTTGCCGAAGCGGCTGCTCTTGAGGAGCTGTTGACGCCAAGTGAGGGAAGATCATCTGGTCCAGATGACGTTCCACCCTAGAAACTGAGGGAGGTCGCTGACGAATTAGCCGAACTGCTGTCCATGTCACTTGTAGTCCTGTTCACACAGCAGCCCCCCTTCGATTGAAAATTTGCACGGACCACAACGCTACGGAAAGGCGGCGGAACTTCTATCTGCTACAAAACTGTGGAAAAAGTAATTAAGCGGCAGCCAATGCATTTCTTGGAGCAGCATAATTTGCTATCCGATGTCAAGCATGGATCACGTAGAGGCAGGTATCGCACATCAAACTTGCTCTACCTTTTAGGACGTCGGACTCCAGCAGGGAATTCGGGCGTGCCAAGGTGCAATCTGTGTCGACATTAAAAGGGCATGTGATAGTACAACAGATTTGCGATTCCTGTACAAACTTGGTCGAGCAATCTCTTGAGGTGGATTCTTAATTTGCTAGCCGGTCGTTCTCAAGTTGTCAGCGTCGGTGATCAGCGGTCGGCGGCGGTTGCGGCTGAGTGTATTGTTCCCAGGGCTCACTTTTTGTTCCCATCCGCTCTGTTATATACGTCAACGACTGCTTTAATAAACCAAATGAAGCTGTCAGAGTCAAAGTGGCAATGCGATATGAAGCCGGACGTGTAGTGGAAACGGCGGTATGATTCCACTGCCACAACACTGATTCGCCGCGAATCGGAGTGTTGCGGCACTGATATTATACCGAGTTTTGTTTATTATACATTTTGGTGCTTAATATTTGTAAAAAACCGAAATTATGGCAAACAGGGGACTTTGTTTTGACCCACCACTTTGCGTAGTTATGATTGGCCATTCGTGAAAAGCAGCTATCGTCATATAAATACCCACCGTATAAATAGTGAGAGAAATCGCGCACGCCCCTATAAGGGCTAGGGGCCCATGGGCTACAGTTCATCACAGTCTCCCCCCTACGAAAAGGGTCTGTTGTCCTCAGCAGCGTCTGGTATCTCAACGACCGTGCCCCTTCAGGGGGTACTTCAGCAGTATTTTCGATCTGCTGTTCATCACCGGGTTTCTCAAGTGTCGCATAGTCCCCTTTCGGAGGCACCTCAAGGTATCGTTTGATCGGTTGGTCGTCGTTCTGGTGAGACAAACCAGTTTGATGTCCGACACGATCGATACTCCCATCCGTCGGTAGTACTGGCCTGAATCGATTGAAACGAACAGGTAACTCACCTGAATACGGTCAATCCTGATTCCGTATCCGGTAGGACTTTAGTAACGACATACGAGCCAATCCATTTAGGATTAAAGTTTGAAGGTCCCCCTGCGGATAACGCAAAGTTGCGCATCCACGCGATTTTGCCGACAGTGTACGCATCCCGTGCGCTAGCCGATCGTATAAAGCCTTTTGAATGCGTTCCCCTTCCCGCAGCTGCAAACGGACTTCCTCTGAATCTACGCGCAGAGCTTTTCGCAGCCTTGACACATACGTGTCTAAATTTTCTATCTGATGCGCAAATTATAGTTAAAGATCCTCCGGGAGTTGCATTTCCCGACCGCACGTTAGGAAGAACGGAGTGTATTGCGTGGCCGCATTTACCGTGGACCTGCAGGTCAGCAAGAAGGCTGGCAAGGCTTTGTCCCATGTGGGCGCTGCGTTTCTGTCGATGAAAGCTCTTAGCTGGTTGATAAATGTCCGGTTAGTCCTCTCGACTTGTCCGTTACCCGATGGATGGCATGCGGTCGCAAGGGTTTTCTTAATTTTTAGGAAATTACACAGCTCATGTACGGCAGCTTTCTCGGACGATGAACCTCGATCAGAATAGAGTTGATCCGGTGCCCAAGAGAGACTCAATTATTCAATTTGCCTCAAGTCACCGTAACA